GTAGAAATCATTTCTCTTTAAAGACGTTTAACAGTTGCATTGTACTTTTGGCCCAATCTCAACAGTGCAAATCATTTGTACTAACACCAAAGTACTATTTTTCTATTAACTACTGAGAATTACATCCACCTTAGTTTTCCAAAACTCAAAGTGATCATATTCACAGTTTGTTTTGTTCAAGCAACAAATAACAAATACTGAATGTACCAGGACTTTAAAACAGTTCAAAGCAAATCTCTAATTTTAAAGGCTGGAACCAAGAAATGTTTGGCCTTTCATGTTAGGAAAATAACTCAAATGTTCTTTTCTATCAAATATCAAAATAGATTCCAAAAATGTCATCAAAATCTAATAGCTCACTCTTGTAAAAGCAGAGTATGTAATATTTGTTAGTAGAAATGACGAATTCTTCTTCTCACAAATGAAAATCATTAGCACATGAATTTAAAGAAATTTACCTTTTCTCTTTTTAATTGATGACACAAGTGATGCTTGACAGTAACCATGTTGGTACGTTTGTTATTCATTGGCTGCAATGTAAAACTACTTAGTCACAGTCATTTTGCTGACCCATAACCGGAATATAAATAATGTTTTTCCAGCTCAGATGAACACAGCAGGTCACCGCCTCTATTCACGCCACTCTCTGTCCCGAGGGGTCGGCTCCCGGCGATCGCAGCCTATTGTGTGTCTGTGTTGGTGTCAGGAAGTTTGGCATTGAGCTTTCTTCCTGTCCGGCCTGGCTCGCCGCCACCACACAGGATTGACTGACACTCAGGCTTCTAAACCGTGTTTGGCCCTCCTGCAGGATGCCTGCTGCAGGACTCAGCGCTGACTTCTGGGTCATTGTGTCACAGTATCTGAGAGTCGTAAATGGTGTGTTTCCTCATGATAAACAGCAAATCACCAATTTACCAGAATACCATCATGTGACACAGGAGCTGTATGATGACTTTTCTGCTGCAGATACACTCTGGAGTTTTTCCACCAGGGAGTGTATGTAGATGAGTGTTTGCTGATGAATTGTACTTGTGCAGAGCACATTCTAAACCTGTCTGTTTGGTGTGATCTGCAGAGTGACATTAGAAGAATTCTTCATCCTACTTGGTTTATTTACAATGAAGATTTAAAGTCAATGTTTTTCATAAAATTTAATTCAATTTGTTGAATTACAGACCCAAGTTCAGACTTTTTCAATTTTCTAAAATAAAAGCTCTGCTTGTTGCTCTGTGTCGGTGTCTGTGTCTCAGGTCCATAATAATTTGGCGCAGACTTTGTCCAGCAGTTTGATGCAGTTGGCAACCAGTGCTGTAGTTTATCTGAAGACGCAAAAGAAGACATGCTTTACTTGGTCCACAGACTGCTGGTGACCTGTTTATTACATTTTTTTAACGTATCGCATGTCCAAAACGCACCAAAGTCAGCACTGCATTTTTGGCAATTTGCAATACACATGCCAAGTGTGAAGTCAATTACATTAGCGGTTCACGAGATATGCGTTCCACATACAGACAGACGGACGTTTGTGGAATTAGTTGGTAGATATCTAGACTGATCAGTTATACAGAGGAAGGAAGTTTACATGCTCATAGCACATAAGTAGTAAAAGCACGACCCTTCTTCTTCCTGCTGAGCTGTCACTGATGGCTGTGAAGTCAGCAGTCATTCAGAGAAACACTCTCCTGCCCATTCATCAGCGTGTAGTGAATTCAATTGTTACGCTCATCACAAGGACTTATTGACTGAAATTATGGGGCTTTCCTGTTGACCAGCTTCCTATGTGTAACTTGCAGTCAAGTTGTTGTCAGGTTGCATTGAAAGTCCCTAGTATTTGTTTGTGCGCAGTGGCATGTACTGTGTTGACTGACGTGGCTGCAGAACCAGTTTGTTTGAGGAAGGTGCGACCTGAGTTCGCCTCTCTGTACTGCCAGTGTTGCTCACTGTGGTGGAAGAAGTACTTATAGATCCTTTGATAAAAGTAACTGCAAAAATACTCCATTACAATTAAAAGTATGAAAAGTAATACTCATTGGTTTATTTAATTATTTAAATGAAACCATCTGAGAAGTTTAGAGGGCAGAAGTTCCTTTTTTCGGAGCTGCTAACAACTCACATGCATCTAAACTGAGACACAGGGTCATAAGTACACTTATATTTACTCATTATGTAAATTAGAAAAACTCCATACTTTCTTTGTTTATAAAATTTCAAGTGAAAAAGATAGAAAATATGTGCTATTGTAAAATAAAAAAGGAAGACGTGTGAGTAATACTCATGTGCCTCAGATATCCAGCATGTCTAATATTCAAACTTGAGTTTCATTCATATCGTCAACGAGGCATATGATTCATTAATGTCCTGAAAATCATACCAGTGATGACATTATGTGCACTGAAATGTTTTTTTTCTTGACTCTCTCCCTAAGGCTGCCTGATCTGTGCAGCCAGTCTGGTTCCTCAAGGCCCTAGCTGGTTTTTCTGAAACAGTCTCACACACACACACACACACTGCAGACCTGACCTTCACTGTCTGCTCAGCCTTTCTCTGGCCCGTAGTTGTTTTGGATCTCGTGTCTCAGTGAAAGCTGTTGAATGAGTGCAGGTCAAGCAGAAATAATGTCTCATAAGGGGATATGAGCCACATGCACTCCACATGCCCCAAAACCTCTTTGAACAATGGGTATTAACAGCACACATCACCAGTCATACATATTTCATAAACACTCAGCAGAACATTTTAATTTAGTGACACAAAAAACGTCAATTTGTGTCCATGTGGTTAAGTCTCTATTACTCTACTCTGATGACTTATTTAAAACTTGGCTGTTGGATCGTGTATGTTTATGAAAAAACTTGTTCATGTTAGATGTTTAATGTTAATCCGTTGTTGCCACAAGAAGATGGATGTTGTGCCATGTGTCAGACTTAGTGAAACTAAAACAATCCAGATGACCTTCATGCGTCAGTAAAGTGACTTGAAGAAAATGAAACTAATCATCAAGTCTTTTTTATAACGTGTGTCAGGACCTTTGCAGATTAAATTCAGTTGCCTTCACCGAGATGCTGGAAAGATCATAGTTAACATTTACTGGAGGAACTTTGATATGATTTATGTTTTGTACAAATAAGAACATAATTTTACTCAATTTAGATCAAATGTGTTCCCTTGAAATGTGAAGCTACCACCAGTATCTCATTAGCTTAGCCTGCGAAGCTTAGCCTGAGCTTTAGATGTGGGTATAATTTGTTACTGTAGAGGAGCCAGGCTACCTGTTCTTCATTTACAGTTTTTCTGCAAAGCTAACCAGCTGCTGGCAGTTTGCTTAGCTTGCATAAATAGCCTCCCTAATCTACCCACTAATTCCAGTAATGTCTGCCTGTCTGTCTGTGGCTCACATATCTCGAAAATAGTTCATCTTGGCTTGATTGTCATATTATTATTATTATTATTATATTATTTTTATTCTGAAAAGTTGGGTCTGAAGATTGTGCCGCTTGCTTAACAGACCTCTGAAATAGCTGACATGCAGTGTACTTAAAAACAACAGCAGTTAAGTAGATTACTCTAACTTATATATAAACCACGCAAATTCAGTTTCATTTTATAAAAAACTATTTTCACTGCAGATAACACAGGAAGGATGAAAGCGAAATTTTCTAACTTCACTCTGCACCACAGACTGTTTATAAAAAGCTGTGCACACAACGTCCAGCACACAAACTACTACTACTCACAAGGAATAATTCTGAAGTAGCTTCGGAAAATAAATAAACACAGGACAAGAGAACAGAACTTTGTAAACAGACAGGTACTAGTATTATCACATTACATGTTAAAGTTGAATCCAATCAAAAGTTGTTAAAGCAACACATTCACATTTTACAGGGCTACTTATAGGTGGACATGTGCTTTGAGTACGTGCCAGACCAGCTGTTCTTCACTGTTTTCCCTTCAGTCTGCTGACGGAACCTTGACATACAAATTTTGGTGTTTAAATTTCTCATCTTGTCCAAAAAGCAGGCATTCTTTTCCCAACATGTTGAACCCATTCCTTTCTGCATATGTACCCAACAATCAGGCCTTATCTGTAAAACAATCTCTAGTATTTCTTTTGATTTTATGATTATACTTGAGTATCCCGGTGTGGAAACAATGGTTGGTGTCTGGGGAGCATGTGTTTGTGCGTGGTCTACCAGATGCGATGAATAATTAATTTTTAATACCATTAAAGACCAAAAGAGGATTGTAATTACTCAAGGTCCCTTTGTTTCAGTGTTGTATTGAAGAGCCAGATGAAGTTGTAGTCACAGTAAAGCTTTTGTTCACATCACCACAGTTAACAGTTTTCAAGAACCTCGAACTGAATTTGCTTTCAGTTATATTTTGGGGATTTTTTTCTGCACTGACCCACATTATCCTAATCTCCTTTGCTCCCCCAAAGCCATCATTGTACCTCCAATCAAAAGAGGCCTGGATAAACAGATCCCATGGAGATGCTTATGTCTAACATACTGTTTCTTTTATTTTTATTCTGCTTGTAGAGCCTGTAATTTTGTATCTTGACAAGGTGTAACATTGTCATGTACAAGTCTCCTCTGATCAAATCCAGATTATGTTTCTGAAAAGAGGAAGGCACTGCATGACTGGAAGCATAAAGTTGCGTTTCATCAGGGTATCGTTGTTGGTATAGGGTTCAAATCTGCTCATGACTGCCCTTTTGATTGAAAATGATTTGAAACTTTCTGTCTTTTCCAGGTGACCGAGGTGTGTGGGGCGAAGCGACTGGGTTACTTTGGTACACCTCAGTTCTACGTAGCCCTGAAGCTGCTCGCCGCTGCCCAGTCTGGTCTGCCTGTTCGCCTGGAGAGTGTTACGGCCAGTAAGTCTGCTGCTCAGGGTGGAGGCGTCTTATCAGAGCAAAAGGGGATCAGGAGATTATCTTAACATGGCAGGATTTGGTCTAATCTGGATGAAAGGGGAGTCGCATGGAAAGGGCTAAGTGGGTTTGTCCTTATTACAAGAGCGTGAAATCAGTCACACCCCAGCCAAAGAGAAAATCAGATTTCTGCACAGCTCATGATAATCTGATGGATTAATAGGAAGAGGTATGTGATTGTCAAATTCACCATGCTGTGCATTAGTAGTAGTAACTCACCTCAGAAAGAAAGAGGAGTTCATCATGATTCATCCCTCTGTTTAATTCTAGTGTATTCACAGTCATCATACAGGAGGCTGCTGATCAGACACAACAAAAATAGTTTTCTCTTTATTTACATTAAAAAGTTTTTTTGAGTTTTTCCAAGGAAAGAACCAAAAGAAAACACTGTGGTAAATAGGATTTTAAAAGTAATCAAATATTCTGTTGTCATGTCTTTAGATCTACCTCTGCCCAGATTTGTTGGGCTGAAGAATGAACCAGAGATGCGATACTCAACCGTCCCTCCCAGTATAGAGGGTCAGGGGGCTACACCTGGTTCTGTGTTATGGACGCCAGCTGAGAGAGGCACCTTGAGACACCTGGAGGCCAGTGTAGAGAAGAAGGTGAGCATGGGACAGAACACGTGATGATCCAAGATATCATGTGTTGATTTCTGCCAGCTCAAAAAGCATTGGTAAAAATTGCTCCCTGATAAAGAGCGCTCACTGTTAAGAGACATTCAATGGAGGCCACACTGAAGAAATGTCGAGAGCTGGCCAAGAATGGTGCAGTGAGCAAAGACATTCCAGTCAGCTGTAATCACCAGCACACAAATGCCTCATTGATGAGAGATTAGAGAAGAATGACGAGCCAGACCAGTCACAAGTATGTAAATATTCATATGGTGGGGCCTCTCAGAACACACACCTAATGAAAACTTGGATGCCACGTCGATGCACGTGCTGCATCAGCTAGAAACAAGAAGGTAGAGCTCTAGACCTCTCTGACCTCTCTGCTAATGCCAGTCTTCATATACCGACTTTTCTACATTGTCGATATGACACACAGGTAGCTCGGGGTTTAAAGGGATGGTTCAGAGAAAAAAGAAAATTCACTCATTATCTATGCCGATGGAGGGGTGGGTGTCCACAAAACACTTTAGGACTTTCAGGTGTAAACAGCAATGCTGGTGTCATCCAAGCCCCGTGAAACTATCAAACACTTCACCCAATCCTCCATTGGCATAGAGGTGAGTAGATGATGAGTGAATTTGACTCTTTCAGTGAACTACCCCTTTAAAGCACTGACCAGAAATAATAATCTCTCTTTCTTTTGTTTCCTGTTATATATTTTGTATATGTGTAAGACAAAAAATAACAAAGTTTACCAAGTATAACTTAGTATAACTCCTCTCTCTCTTTCCCTACATTCATTCTCTGCCTCTGTACTGTCAGCTACTGAATTAACTCTAACATGCCAAAAAAACAACATTTGATAGAGGTGGAACATTCTCTGAAATAATAACTTCATACATACTGTAGTTACCTGTGACTGTCTCGGGATTGTTACAGAAATATGACTATGCTGCCATCTTTAGGTCACATTATGTCATGAGATGGAACAGGCTGCTCACCACATTAAAGACATGATACATTCATTTAGGTTGATGGGAGTGTTCAGGAGTTATGTGTACGTCCGTGTGTATGTGAAAGTGTATATGTATGTGTTTGTATATGTGTGTATATTTTTAAATGTATGTGAAATAACAAATACTGTGTCCCTGTTTTATAAGGAACCCTGGTCCCCACCTCGATCACCGTGCACCTCACCACCCCACTCTCCCATGACCTACCGCAGCTACCCATACACCAAGCAGAAAAATGGAGCAGACTCACAGATCAGTAAGTTCTGTTTCTCATTGTTTATTACAATTACTATTATTAGAATTACCATTATACTATTATTATTGAGAAGTCTTACTGTACCGGCAAGAGTAGAAGGAACCTTCAACTTCAGCATATGGGCTTGATCAGTTATAATTTTCTAAAGTCTTTCAGTAGTTATATTTTATACATAAAAGAATAAAAGGAAAAAGTTTTTACTGCATCCTCTTCTAAACGGTGTAGCTCTGATTTCTATCTGCTCACTTTGCTCTCTGCTGGTCTTTGGATCTGTAATTCTCTCAGATCACATATTTTGAGGGGGGTCATCAACAGGAAATCATTGCATTTTTCTCTCCTGTCCTTCAGTCTATGAAAGCAAACCGTCCTCACGACCGATCGTTAAGCTGGAGCAGCACACCTCACCCAGTAACTACGGGACCAAACCCAGTGTAGAGCATCCTGCGATGGCTCGGGTACAACCAGAGTTTTTGTAGCTGATGATCAACTTCACTTTCTTTAAGTCTTTATTATGACCTTTACTACTTTTTATTTCTGTGTATCTTCCCAGGCTGCTTCAGCGGAGAGGCTGGCCCAGCAGGCTGCAGCGGATTATTCTGATGATGACCCCTGGAGGATCACAGAGGAACAGCTGGAGTATTATACAAATCAGTTCAAGACCCTCCAGCCTGACCTGGGAGCTCTCATCCTGGGTATGAACAACCCACCACCAAAAACACCACTACTGCTGCTTAACATAAAACGCAACTTCACTGAAAAATGACTCTCAGACTATTTCACCTCTGTATCACTCTTGAATTTTTCCAGGAGCTGTTGCAAAAAACTTCTTCACTAAATCCAAGCTCCCAATACCAGAACTCTCCCACATCTGGTGAGTGCCGTGTCTTTATATACAGTCTATGGTGCCGACTCACAGTGTCGTCTGATCTGTTCTGTTCTGATCGGATCTGATCTGATATATAATTGTGAGCATATCTGTTGCCCAAACATTTCTTTTCCACACAGAATACCTGATCTAGTTAAAATATGTTTTAGTGATACACTTTTTACAAGTAAAAATTGTGGTGGCATTTTATTTTCAATGTCATTTCCAAGTCATTTCCTATGAAGTTTCCCAGAAAGAATGATGTGTTTGGTCCAATTTATAATCAGAATAGAGACCATGTTCAGTTTGTAAAATCCCATTGAATAAACTTAAATACACTGAACTAGAATCTTTTAAACTGCACAGCAGGTCAGCTGAGCGTATAAATAGTGTATAATATAGTTAGTCTGTGAGTAGAATGAAAATATACACTGGGGTTTGAATTCAGTTTTTCTTTATCAGTACCAAATAACCAGTACGTTTTAGTCAGAAATTCAGAAATTACAATACCCCAATGGTGAGTTATTAGCAAAGATCACCAAGTTTCTGACTTCTTAGTTTGATAATCAGGATTATTGTTTAAGCCAGAAGTCTCCAGCTCAAGATGTTCTTCATCTTTTCAACTATTCTTTTAAGGGAGTTGAGTGATGTGGATCGAGATGGAGCTCTCACTTTCTCTGAGTTCTGCACAGCCTTTCACTTGATTGTGGCACGCAAGAATGGCTACCCTCTCCCAGAGAGCCTTCCCCCAACGCTGCAGCCAGGGTTCCTGCAGCAGGAGGACGACATACCAGATACTCCTGAAGTGAGGCAGACATACACTAATCTGTTACCTGAAACATGCAATCCGATTCTAATGTCTTATATTTGTGCTTATATGTGTGTTTATTCTGTTTTGCAGAGTGTGGAGCCTCTTATTGACTTTGAGGATTCTGAACCAAGGCCCAGTCAGATGGTAAACCAAGTCCTCAGTCTCTTTTTAAAAATGTGGAGTCCCTCTGTGGTGCCTGTAGGGGGCACTAAGAAGCTGAGCATGAGTCTACCCCTAGTGGTCCAAGTGCGGTCTCCTCATCATGTGGAGCATAAGCTTGTAGTTAGTAATGTTGTATTGCTCTAAATGTTTTGGCAGATAATTATTTTCTCTGTTTTCTCAGGATCGAAGCATTATAGAGAGAATCCAGCCAAGTTTAGCAACAACAAAACAAGCTTTGAAAGATGAATCCTGTAAACGAGGTAAAATAAGATACTTTTTTCATGATTTATTAGACTAATTGACCCAAAAATAGTGAAAAACATTAAATACAAAAATCAAACGCACGGCACATTCAGTTCCTCTGATGTAATTTGGTGCTCTGCTAAACAACAAAACAACATTAACTGGCACAGGGACAAAAACATCTCAGCATATTTTCCACTCACTTTTTTATTTTTTATATTTATTAACACAGTCAGGATAACTACATAATATATAATCACATACTGTGTATGACTTCCTTATGCTGCTGCCTTGGCATAGACACATATTGTACAATCAATGCAGAAAAATAATAAATACCCATCATCCCTCCCAACCATCAAAAAAGAAACAAAGCAGAGAAGTGCTTCGGACTGTAAAAATAAAATGAAACGACACCATCCACAATTATTCTACACTAAAAGAGTCCATGAAAAATAAAAAATAACTTTTTTTTTATGTTTTAAAAGTGCTGAATGAATCAACTTTTCATGTCATGTTGTGAGTTCTGCTGTTGATGTCTTTATCATTTTGTCTGCAGATGCGAGTTTGAAGCGGCTGACAACATCTGAAATGAAACGCACTCTATATCTTGGTGCTTTTCCTGAGAGGCCAGGTGATAATGAAACTCTTAACATAAGAAAGTGGAACTGGATACACACACCCCATTACCCATGTGTTCTCTTTCCTCCTGTACGGTGGAACTTCTTGGTTTATTGACTTGTGTTTTAGTGAGAGTGTAGTTCTGCATTACAGTGTTACAGTATAGTACATGGTAATATCCAGGCATGTCAAAGTGATTTGTTATATTTTACCCATGAAAATAGTTGCAAAAATATCACATCATATAAACGACATGGTGTGATGCTGATTAATTCAATTCAATAAAAAATACAAAAAGACAATTTATTCCCACACATAAACAAGACAAAACTAAATGCAGACAAATCCAAAGCTACAAACATGGTTAGGAAAAAGATACAATTATGTCAGAAATGTCTACTCAAGGATGGTTAAATTTAAAGTGCAAATCCATCTATCAAGGGGCAGTGTACATCATACATGGTTGTTTGTCTCTGACAACAACCATTCATACCTACATTCAATTTATCAATAAACCAATCAGATTTCATTTGTATAGCCTATATTCACACATCACAATTTGTCTCACAGGGCTTAACAAGGTTCCACATCCTCTGCCCCTAACCCTCAGCAAGAGAAAGGAAAAACGACCAAAATGACTCTATTAATATGGACAAAAACTAGAAACCTCAGAGAGAGCCTCTTGTGAGTGATCCCTACTCCAGGACTTGCTGAAGTGCAAAAGATGCTGCATGTAGGAGAGCACATGAACAAAAGAACAATAGTTACAGCTTAAATGAGAAAAGACAGCGTCTAACACAAGTGGAATTTAGAGTCTCCAATCAATCTAATCCTTGCATGTCTTTTGACTGTGGGAGGAAAACCCCTTGTTTTTAATGAAGCTACACGAGAGGTCCAGAGCACAACAAAAAATCGACATAAAAACAATGGCTTGTTTGCTGCTGCCACATGAGAAGTGGTCTCAGTGTGATCACAATGGTTACACGAGAGGTCTCTGCTTCTCATTTTCAACAACTCAAACAAGACTGACCTGCTTTTGCTCATCGAACGTATCTTTCCTCACAGAGCCGCCTCAGGACCTAGATCCACAGATGAGGACCAAAACAAGGCCGAGGTGAAAATCCTCATCGCAACACAATCATTACAACACAGAAATTAAGTCAATAATATCCTAAATTGCTCATTAATCGTTGTATATGTTTGTTTGTTTTTGTCCACCCATGTGACCTCATCAACAGGTCCTACTCTAGCACTTCTATTGAAGATGCAATGAAGAAGTCAGAGGAGCCTCCGACCCCCCCACCTCGACCCCAGAAAACCCACTCCAGAGCCTCCTCACTGGACCTCAACAAGCTGTTCCAGCAGGGCACTCCAGGTACAAGTCACATCCACCCAGCGCTCCGGTCTTTACACAGCTCTTCTTACAGTATTACATTTTTCTAACACCGATCCTGAGAGTGTGAACTGCCTGTGGCTACGGTGCGTTTTGCATCCGAGTTTTTGTATTTTGTTTACGACAGTTCCCCTTTCAAGAGAGAACAAAAGGGGAAATGGAGATAGGTAGGGTTGTGTTGTTCAGTCTGAAAGGTTACGGGCAAGTCAGAGTATATTAGTGATGTAGGATGTTTCCTAAGAACAAAGAAATATAACCACAGTGGCTGAAAGCTTTTCTGGATTTTAGGTGTAAAAAGTGGATGGCTGCTTCCTCCTGCCCTCCCTCCAAGACCAATGACCTCACAGGTAAGATATGTTTAATTATGGCATCAATCCAAGCCAATGTGCTCCCATAGATTCACATGAATGAATTTGATTTTTGACTAATCAGTATCTATCATCTCTCAGGTTCCTCATTTTATCAACGCTTCAGAGAAAACTCCCTCAAGTAAAGTGCAGCAGCCCAACTTTGCAGACTTCAGTCACTTTAAGGAAGAGGTAAACCAAAAAACTAATTCCTTATTTCTATTTGTCTCTGGGTTTAGAAAATGTTTAAAGGAGCAAATAGTCTTAATTTATGAGGAAGAAAATTCAGCAGACAAACTCAAACTTCCATCCCAGATTCTGTGCTTTCCACTTTCCTATTTTCCACCTCCCATCTCAGACACAGCCCCATAAATGTGTCACCAAGGTCGTGTTTGTTAAATATACGATCCTCTATTTCAAGACACAAATAGACTGGAAGGTTACAACAGTGGTGTACATCAAAGTCTTCTCTCCTGTGGACGGCAAGGAAGCGAAAGCATCAGAGATTTATTTATGGCTCAAGTGTCAGGTCATGCATTTAGTCTGAGGCCTTTTCAACCTCATTCTCTTTGTCCTTCATTTGTTATTCCTGACACTATGATATCACGTGGGTAGATGCTTGTGTTCTGATGCACCACACAACAATCTAGATCATGTTTAATGTTTGTGAGTGGATGTTTAAAGCTTAAATGGAAAAATGTCTGCCTAATATCTGGTGCAGTATTGAGGCGATGCTTCCTGTTAGTCAGTTAAGTTTTTAGATAGAACCTCCTTTTCCATAATAGCAACTTCTCAATGAAACATTTAAAGCTAGGGTTGGTAATCCTGGAAAAGTTAGCAAGAGCAAGTACAACCGCTCCCATCCGCCCTCTCATCAAAGCTACGTCCCTGAAATACATGAACGTGTACTGCATGACAACCGCTAGAGCCAATAACTTTGGACTATCGTCTGATTTTACTTTAGATCCTCAAGTTCCCATTCATGTCTTGGGTTAGCTGTATTAATAAATACATGAATAATGCTCACCCAAGACATGATATATATTTAGTAGTAGTATTGATAATAATGATGAAAATACCAACGATGAACTTTATTTCTATAGCAAATCATAAAAGAGTGAGATCATATCCAGCAATGCTATAAAACAAAACAGAACTAGGAACTGTTGGGTTTCCCTATATTAAATAAGATTTTAAGGTCTTGACCTTCTATGTAAAGTGCCTTGAGACAATGTATATTAAGATTACGCGC